ACTCCTCCTCTCCCTTTTAGCTCCTCCTCCTCCTCCTTTTAGCACTGGTGATGTTCCCTAGTTGGGTCATGAAATGTCTGTAAGAAAACCACCAAACTCAGAGAGCACCAAGGATCCCACAGTCCTCCTCCTCCTCCTCCACCTCCAACTCCTCCTCTCCCTTTTAGCTCCTCCTCCTCCTCCTTTTAGCACTGATGAAGTTCCCTAGTTGGGACCTGAAAGGTGTCTTCAAGAAAACCACCAAACGCAGAGAGCACCAAGGACCCCACAGTCCTTCCTTCCTTCCTTCCTTCCTTCCTTCCTTCCTTCCTTCCTTCCTTCCTTCCCTCCCTCCCTCCCTCCCTCCCTCCCTCCTCCTCCTCCTCCCACCTCCAACTCCTCCTCTCCCTTTTAGCACTGATGAAGTTCTCTAGTTGGGGCCTGAAATGTCTGTAAGAAAACCACCAAACTCAAAGAGCACCAAGGATCCCACAGTCCAACCCTGAACTATGAATCTTCTCTTTTATTTAAATCAGAGCTATTAAGGCACTTCATCCTATTGAACCTTGAATACACTGCAGTCTGTGGGGCTGAAGTCCAGCATGTATTGATCACGTGCTGTCTGGGAAACGTTACTCGGGTCAGTTGGCACAACATCTGCTCCAGTTTCTCAGAAACAGCCTTCCCAGCCCAAGATCAGAGGGGAAGTATCTCTTGTGACAAAAACGGGCTGGAAAATCCACCCGGTGATATATCAGCGTTGCGCTGCGCTGCTGGATGAAGCAAAGCTGCCTGCATCAGCGCTGTACAGATGCTCCTCGACTTAGGACCACAATTGAGTCCAAATTTTCCAAAACTGCTAAATGGGACAGAATCAGAGTAGAGCTGGAAGGGACCTTGGAGGTCTTCTAGTCCAACCCCCTGCTCAAACAGACCCTATACCACTCTTGTTCTGACCCAAACCTTGTTCCAAGGAAACAAACACAAAACGGAGATAACGGCAAACTATTTTAATGATTCTTTACGAATCCCGTTCCTTCACGGTTAAAAGGCTGTTTCAAACTCATTGTCTCTGATAAGAAAGAGCCTTGCCAAGGCGATGCAAGGCTGCCAAGAACACTAGATAAAGTTACTAAGAAATAGTTCAAACACACAGAGTCTCCAATCACAAACTAAGAGTCCAAACATCCACAAGGCTCGAATGCAAAAACTTCTTTGCTTCCTGCAAAGAACTCCGGTTTCTCAGCTGGCTTTTATCTCTCAAGTCACCTGTGCTGCTGCAGCTGGAAGGAAAGAGCAGCTCTGCGCACGCACGCATACTGAGCACAGGCTCCTCGGGGGCCTCTTCCTCACTGCTGCCAGCCTCCACCATCTCCAAAGGCAGCAACCCACTCCCTGATGGTCCTGGCCCCCTCCCTGCCTCACACGCAGGCCCTTCATCTGAGACCTCAGCCGTTCACACCTGCTTCCAGCGAACCACAACAATTCCGGACGAATGACTGTCCAATCTCTTCTTTAAAAGCTCCAGTGTTGGAGCGCCAGGGAACTTTTCCAACTCAAGAGTGTCAGGAAGACAAAAAAATATAAATAGGGAAGCCACAAACCATACAATTAAAACCATGCCTTTGCGGGGAAGGGGGCATGTATTGTGAGTGTAGGGTATACAAAAAGAAAGCAAAGCTTTGGTGGTGTGGAAGAAGCCACCATTTGATTTTGGGGGGGCTCCCTCTACTCTCCTGCAGACACAAACACACACACACACACACACACACACACAGACCTGGAATCCCAGTGCATCAGGATTCAGCATTTCGAGGGGAAAAAGCAATCACCTTTCCAGAAAGAAATAATTATAAGAAGATAGTGCGAATTGGCTTGAAGGCAGTGATCTCTCTGTTCCCAAAGTCATCCTGGTGAAACACCGCCCTCTATTGGCCAGAATGGGCATCTCAGCCTTCCCCAACAGGGGCAACTGGACGTTGAATTGGTGGGTTATATATAGTTGGCCCAATTCCCCCCACCTCCACCCGAAGGCTGGCCTGTGTAAGCAAGGTTAATTTTGGACAGAGGTGGCCCAGGTCTCTCGTGATCATTCCAAAGAAACCTGGAATTATAGGATACAGGAAAAAAGAAATATCTGCTCTTTGTGGGTTTTGCACATCATCGGCTTGCGACGCACACAGGTGAGAGAGAGAAGAAAGGAAACTGAGTGGGCCAACGCAGATCTAACCATGTTGGACAAGCAAAGATCAAACCCCTCCGTGGAGTGGAGTTAGGTCCATGGTCTCTGCCTCCCAGCAGTTGGGTCCTTAATTCAGGTTAATATTGGGATCATGAAACGTTGGCAAACAAACCATCAAACTCAAGAGAGGAGTAAGGACCCACCGTCCTCCTCTTCCTCTCTCTCCTCCTTTCCTCCCTCTCCTCCTCCTCTCTGCAAGCTACACTTCCTTGTGGTACTGTTGAAGTTACCTAGTTGGGTTAATGAAACTTCTGCAAGAAAACCACCAAGCTCAGAGAGCATCAAGGACCCCAAAATTGTTTCCTCCTCCTCCTCCTCTTCCCGTCTCCCTCCTCCTTCTCCTCCTTCTCCCTCTCCTCCTCTCTGCAAACCACACTGCTTGTACCACTGATAAAGTTACACAGTTGGGTAATGAAACGTCTGCAAAAAAAACAGTCAAACTCAGGGAGCACCAAGGACTCCACATTCCTCCTCCCTTCTCCTCCTCCTCCCCCTCCTCTTCCTCTTCCTCTCTGCAAACCACACTTCCTGGCAGCACTGTTGTTGTTTTTTTACTTTATTGTCATTGCAACTCGTACATTGCAAAATTAAATACCATCTTCAGCGTACATTGTGACTGAAAATAAACACGAACACACATCCTTCGCCTTCTGCGCACTGAAGTTGAAGTTATCTGATTAACGATGAAAACGTCTGCAAGAAAAGCAACCAAGCTCAGAGAGCATTAAGGATCACACAGCCATTTTCTCCTCCTCCCCTCCCTCCTCCTCCTCCTCCTCCTCCACAATTCCCCCTCCCTTCTAGCACTGATGCTATTACCTAGTTGGGTCATGAAACGTCTACAAGAGAGAACACCTGTTCTTCAGTGCAGTCTTCTGGGACGAGATCTTTGGCATCCAACAGTGGACCTGCCATGAGATGGAGAGTGTGGAAGCAGGCAATTTCAGTCCCAGTTCAGTCCCAAACGATTACACTGTTTAAACCAGGTGTCTCCAACCTTGGCAACTTTAAGACTTGTGCCTGGGCCTCTTTCTTTCTTTCTCTTTCTCTTTCTCTTTCTCTTTCTCCCTCCCTCCC